GTTATTTTCCCAGGCGTTAAAGTGTGGTTCACGTACTGGATGATCTGACACGGCGTAAAGATAGCAACGTATGGATTTAACCCGAGTGATCTGGCAACGCTTAAAGTTAGTTACCTGTATATTTTATCACCGTATAGATTTCGTACCTGCATGGTCTGATATGAATACATTTTATTACCTGAACGATCTGGCAACGCATAAATTTGGTACGGGATTACAATATTAATAGTTTGGTACTGATTATCCAGGTACTAAGTGGCCCAGCATACATATTTGGTGCTAAGTGATTTGGTACTATCAGACCTGGCATTAAGTGCCTTGGTACGAGTAACTTTGGCACTACAAGTATTATCATCAATCGACTTGGTACACTTAAATTTAGTAATAAAATAATTTGTGTATATAAATTTGGTAATAAATGATTTTATGATTGGGAAAGTGATATGTGTGTGTGTGTGTGTGTGTGTGTGTGTGTGTGTGTGTGTGTGTGTACGCCCTGAAAGACCAAACCCAGCCCAAAAGTCTGAGGGCGACCCCTTAAAGCTGCTCCAGTGACCTCTGACCTTATAAGCTTGACCCAGGAAGAGTCTAGTAGAGGCTCAGGGCCAACCAAGCCCACGATGCTTCACACAATATAAAACACGAGTCACTGATCAACACACGGTACGACGTGGAGATACACCAGACACACTCTAAATCACTAAATATTAATAAGTAACTCAAGTGAACAGACAGACAGACAGACAGACAGACAGACAGACAGTCAGACAGTCAGATAAGGAACTTCTCGCCAGTTTATCAGCAAATGATGATTGAGCGAGAGAGAGAGAGAGAGAGAGAGAGAGAGAGAGAGAGAGAGAGAGAGAGAGAGAGAGAGAGAGAGAGAGAGTCGCTTATATAATAGAAACGACATAACAGAGCAACGAATGACACATATGACGCGTCTTCAATGAATGACACATATGACACGTCATCAATGAATGACACATAATACGCGTCACCAACGAATGACACATATAGTAAACAGATGATAAGGACGTGAATTAAAAACATGAGTTAAGCAGAAACAGAACATGATAGGACAGGAAAATAACACCGATAATAAGAGGGAAACCTAAAACACAAACACATATATTTCAACAACAAAAACATAACACTACCGTACTAAAAATATTTACTAAAGGAGGGAAAAAATCAACAATAAGAAGTATATAGAGGAAAATAGTCGATGTTTTGGTGCAGCAGAGATATGAACCCCGGAGTGTGGAGGAGCGAGCATCATGGCGCTCTTCCACCAGACAATAAAATTAACGACTTGCCAGTAGGCCAGCTGACACGGCCGTATTTTCCTGGGGACCGTGACTGGCTGCTGAAGGCCGTGCAGGAGGCAGGAGGGGGCGGCCGTCTACACCATGTAACACGAGGGAGAAGAGACCCTGTGTGGGTGTGTGTGTGTGTGTGTGTGTGTGTGTGTGTGTGTGTGTGTGTGTGTGTGTGCGTGTGTGTGACCACGATCTCTTGTTCTTAGTTTTGGAGGAGACAAGGTATTTTGGTAACTATTTTATGTAGCTACCCGTGCTATTAATAATTATAATAATAAAAAAAAAAATAATAATAATTGAAAAAATAATAATAAAAATACAAATATAATAATAAAATAATAATAATAATAATAATAATAATAATAATAGTAAATAATAATAAATAATAAATAATAATAATAATAATAATAATAAATAATAATAATAATAATAATAATAATAATAATAATAATAATAATAATAATAATAATAATAATAATAATAATGAAATCCAAATATAACTACAAACATATTTCAATGATAATATCAACACTAGGTAACATTTACCCCCGTGCTTAACAACTCGTAAAAATGCCGACAGTCTCTCATGGGAACCTAAATTTATTCACATTTTCATATTTTTTTCTTGATTTTGTTTTTGTTTTAATAACGTCTATATTTCCGTCAACAGTATCAGAGTGTTTTAAGGCATGACTACATCAACGAGAGAAGGAGTTCCCCTCGTGTCAAGGTGATGGAACACCTACACTACTATGACACACTTCATGAGGTCATATCTCCCTCAGACACTGACAGTAAGGAGATGTGAGGAAGTGTGTTGGTCGCAAGTCACCAGCACGTGTACCCCTCTCTGCCCCTCCCACCCCTCCCTCATACCGACCTGCTCCTTCCCTCCCTCCCTCCCTCCCTCCCTCCCTCCCTCTCTCCTTCCCTCCTCCTCCCTCCCTCCTCCTCACTCCGTCCCTCCCTCCCTCCAACCTTCCCTTCGATCCTTACACCGACCTGCCCACCCTTACACCGACCTGCCCCTACCCTTCCTTACACCGACCTGCCCCTGCCCTTCCTTACACCGACCTGCCCCTGCTGACCTGCTTCCTTACACCGACCTGCCCCTGCCCCTTTCTTACACCGACCTGCCTCTTCCCTCCCTTACACCGACCTGCCCCTGCCCTTCCTTACACCGACCTGTCCCTACCCTTCCTTACACCGACCTGCCCCTGCCCTTCCTTACACCGACCTGCCTCTTCCCTCCCTTACCGACCTGCCCCTGCCCTTCCTTACACCGACCTGCCTTTCCCTTCACCGACCTTACACCGACCAGCCCCTTACCCTCCCCCCCCCTCTACACCGACCTGCCCCTGCCCTTCCTTACACCGACCTGCCCCCCTTCCTTACACCGACCTCCCCTGCCCTTCCTTACACCTCTGACCTGCCCCTGCCCTTCCTTACACCGACCTGCCCCTGCCCTTCCCCACCGACCTGCCTCTTCCCTCCCTACAACTGCCTTCCTCCCTACACCGACCTCCCTGCCTTCCCACACCACCTGCCCCTCCCTCCCTTACACCGACCTGCCTTCCTCCTTTGCACCAGCCCCTTCCTCCCTTACACCGACCTGCCCATCTCAGACTTACCTTCCATCCCTAACACCGACCTGCCCCTTCCCTCCTTCACACTGATTTTCTTCCTCCATGCAACCTACAAATTTTCATCTCAAAGAATACCTTAGTAACATCATGCCTACCTGTCTGTGTGTGTGGGTTTATTGAAGTTCTGTGTATACGGACATAAATGTGTGTGGTTAACAAAAGCCTGTGTGTGTGGTGTAACAGCAAAACGTGTGTGCGTGTGTGGTGACCAAATGCAGATCATTGCAACTTCCTAGAGTCAAACACTATACACGCCTCACCACACACCAGACCCACGCCTCACCACACACCAGACCCACGCCTCATCCCACGACTCACGCCTCACCACACCACCCACGACCTCACCACGACCTCACCACACACCAGACCCACGCCTCACCACGACCCACGCCCAGACGCCTCACCACACCAGACCCGCCTCACCACACCAGACCCACCCACCACACCCCCACCACTCACCACACACCACGCCTCACCACACGACCTCACCACACACCAGACCCACGCCCACCACACACAGACCCAGACCTCACCTGCCACCACCCACACACCAGACCCACGCCTCACCACACACCAGCCAAACATCACCCGCCCACAACTTTAAATTCCTAGGCGATGTAGAGGGGAGGAAAGTGGCCGGGTGGTGAGGAAAGTAGCCTAGGTGGTAAGGAAAGTGATCAGGGTTATGAAGAAAGTGGACAGGAAGCGGGGAAAGTGCCAGTCAATGTAGTGAGGGAAGTAGCCAGGGTAGCCAGGAAATTGGCCAGGGTGGTAAGGAAAGTGGCCAGGATGGTGAGGAAAGTAGTGAGGGGAGTGCCAAGGGTGCTGTAAAATGTCTATTAAGGTAATGGCAGTGTGAGTCGGCAGCTGGGAGTCGACACAGTGCCATTTTCATATGTACTATTAAGGAATGCACATGTTATGGCACACACACACACTCACACACGCACACACACACACATACACACACAGAAACCTCTACATACGCAAAGAAACACACACACACACAGAAACATCCACATACATACACAAACACACACACACACACACACACACACACACAAACATCCACATACATACACAAACACACAAACGTCCACATACGCAGAGAAACATACACACACACACACACACACACAGAAACATCCACATACATACACAAACACACACAAACGTCAACATACGCAGAGAAACACACACACACACATCAGTGGACGTGTAGTTGGCAACAAAACACGTGTGATCGAGGCACCGTGACGACCATTCTCTCTCCCCTTAATTTCATTCCTTACTCATTTCTGAACACAAATATTTCAATCACAACCCCACGGCCATACACAACCCCACGGCCGGATTCAACCCCACGGCTAGACACAACCCCACGGCTAGACTAAACCCCACTGCCAGACACCACAGCCGGACACAACCCCACGGCCAGATACAACCCCACGGCCAGACACAACCCCACGGCCGGACACAACCCCACGGCCAGACAACCCCACGACCAGACACAACTGCACCAGACACAACCCCACAGCCGGATACAACCCCACGGCCAGATACAACCCCACGGCCAGACACAACTCCACGGCGGACACAACTTAGAAACCTTCCTTCGGGACTTAGAAACCTTCCATATCAGGATAGGCTAAGAAACTTAACTTGCATTCCCTAGAAAGACGAAGAGTGCGGGAGATATGATAGAAGTATTTAAGTGGGTGAAAGGAATTAATAAAGGGGATATAGATAAAGTTCTTATAATATCCGAGCAGGATGGGACTCGGAGCAACGGATTCAAGTTGGATAAGTTTAGGCTTAGGAGGGAGATAGGAAGAAACTGGTTCACAAATAGGGTGGTGGACGAGTGGAACAAGCTTAACAACTTTGTAGTAAGTGCGGGAACTCTGGAAAGTTTCAAGGAGGCTAGATAGATTCATGGATGATAGAGAGTGGCAGTAACTCTCGACAGGAGCTGCCATGCACAGGCCAACCGGCCAATGCAGACTCCTTATTTTCTTATGTTCTTATGTAGCCCACGGCCAGACAACACCACGGCCAGACACAACCCACGGCCGGACACAACCCCACGGCCAGATACAACCCGGCCAGACCACAACCCCACGGCCGGACACATCCCCGGCCAGACAACCTCCGGCCAGACATAACCCCACGGCCGGACACAACCCCACGGCCGAACGCACAACTCCACGGCAGAGCACAACCCCACGGCCAGACACAACCCCACGGCCAGACACAACCCCACGGCCAGACACAACCACCGACAAACACAACCCCGACAAGAGACAACCCCACGGCCGGACACAACCCCACGGCCAGATACAACCACGGCCAGACACAACCCCACGGCCGGACATCCCCACGGCCAGACAACCTCACGGCCAGACAACCCCACGGCCGGACACCACGGCCAGACACAACTCACGGCAGACACAACCCCACGGCCAGACACAACCCACGGCCAGACAACCCCACGGGCAACCACCGACAAACACAACCCCGACAAGACACAACCCGGCAGACACAACCCGACAAGAGACAACCCACGGCAGGCATAACCCCACGGGACAAACCCCACGGCCAGACACAACCCCGGCAGACACAACCCCCGGCAGACCAACCCCCGGACAAACACAACCCCACGGACAAACACAACCCCACGGCAGACAGAACCCACGACACAACCCCCAGCAGACACAACACGGCCAGACACAACCCGACCAGACACAACCCGGCAGACACAACCCCACGGCCAGACACAGCCCCACGACCAGACACAACCCCCGGCAGACACAACCCCGGGCACAACCCCACGGCCAGACACAACCCCACGACCAGACACAACCCCACGGCAGACACAACCCCGGCAGACACAACCCCACGGACAAACACAACCCCACGGACAAACACAACCCCACGGCAGACAGAACCCCACGACAAGACACAACCCGGCAGACACAACCCTACGACAAGACACAACCCCACGGCCAGACACAACCCCACGGCCAGACACAACCCCACGGCCAGACACAACCCCACGGCCAGACACAACCCGGCAGACACAACCCCGGCCAGACACACCCACGGCAGACACAACCACCGACAAAACTAGCCGGCAGCACAACCATACGCCTAGACAACCCAAAACTAAACACAACCATACAGCCATATACAAACGCACAACCATACAACATAATTGTACTCAATATAAAAGTTATTGTACTCAAGGCTGTATAGAAGGAGTTAAGATATGGTACTCAAGGGGTTAAGTCATCGTACTCCAAGATTTAAGCCATTGTACTCCATGATTTATGCCATTGTACTTCAAAGTTTATGACATCGTACTCAATTTATAAATTCATTGTACTCAAAGAGATTCAGAAATATGAATAAAGTTACCCATCAACCAGTCTTCCCTGACCTACCCCTCCTCCCTCTCCACCTTACCCATCATATACCGAACGATCCACCGCTTCTAGTTTTCATCGCAGTTTGATATATGAGATCTCAGGTAACTGGCTCACTTCAGTTCAGGTAAAAAAAAAAGATAAACAAAATGGCGTCAATACTGTAGGGAGACTGTACTGTATACTCTAATATAACAGCAGTAGCTTTTGAGAATTTGGAATTAGTTTGATTTATTAACTAATATTGATTGGCTACTCAGACAATCCACAATGGGGAATTTAAGCAGATAGCCTAAGCAGACAATGTAAGCAGTAATCTAATTAGACAACCTTAGCTGACAATCTAAGCTGACAACCTTGGCTGACAATCTTAGCTCACAATCTTAGGTGATAATCTAAAGAGAAAATCACTACGAGTTTTTAGAAGAAAAAATATACCCAAGTTAAAAAAACCAAACAACTCCCATTATGGTCTCAACAAGATGAAGGTAATCAGGTGATGACAAATACCCTTTATCCAGCCATAAGGTAACATTCTAGCCACTTAGGATAACAAGTCAGTGTCCCCCATAAACTTGATTCACGGCACCATTAATCTATCTTGTAAAGTAAGTCGCCACTAGTGAAATTTGAAAGCAAGTTGTATTGTGCATGGCGACGCCCACCTCCACGACACGGCATAGGTGGGTCAATACAGGTGCTGGTGGGTTGGGGAGTGCGTCAAGAAAGGGCTGGGTGGGTTGGGTAATGGGTCAAGGGTGGATTGGGGGAGTGGGTTAGGAGTGAGTTAGATGGGGGTTGTGGAAGTGGGTCAGGAGTGGGCTGTAGGGCTAGGAGGTGGGTTAGATGATTGGGTCAGGAGTGGGTTGGGGAGGATTTCATGGGTGGGCTGTGGGGTTAGGGGGTGGGTCAGGGGTGGGTTGCACTGTGGGTCTAGGTTATGGTGAGAAATAGCAATGGGTTTGGTGGAGAGTGTGTCAGGGAGGGAGGGCGGGGGGTTGTCTTTGCGCTAGTAGAGGTGTGGCTAGTGAGGCTATTTATTATACACAGCTCATGAACGAGAACCATGAAGGTGGTAGTGGTGGTAGTGGCGGTGGTAGTGGCGGTGGTGGTAGTGGGTGGTGGTGGTAGTGGTGGTAGTGGATGGTACAGCTTTATGGAAGGAATAATTTTTTAGCGATGATAATGGTGGTAGTATTAATGGTGATGGCGGTAAGGTAATAATAGGAACAAATTAACAATAACAAAATAAAATAATAATCATATTGTTAAAAAATATACAAATAATAGGAATAAAAAAATAATAATAATAATAATAATATAATATTAATAATAATAATAATAATAATAATAATAATAATAATAATAATAATAATAATAATAATAATAATAATAATAATAATAATAATAATAATATTAATAATGTCAAAGGAGATGAACGAAAACTATAAAGTAAAATCAATAAGAAAAAAACATAAAACAAGATAATTTCCGTGAAACAGATGAACAAAGTGCTTACTTCCGCGTGACTCCATGAGTGTGTGTGTGTGTGTGTGTGTGTTTCTTGAAGGTACACAGCTGGTGGCAGCATCAAGAGGGCGGACGTGGTTGGCTCTCTCATTGTTTTAAAGTCACTCCCCCCACCTTGTTCTTAGGCACTCACCCATGAACTTATAAACACAGCGTGACTCTCTCTTTTCTCTCTCATGCCCGTGGAGGAAGAGATTGTCGCGTGGGCCACAAGGCCCACATGATAAACAAATGAACAAAGACGAGAACAAGGACAGTACTGACGGTAAAAGGACAGTACTGACGGTAAAAGGACAGTACTGACGGTAAAAGGACAGTACTGACGGTTAAAGGACAGTACTAACGCGACAAGGGCATTACTGTTGCTGCAAGGACATTACTGTTGCTGCAAGGACAGTACTGTCGCCAAAGGGACGGACAGTACTGAGTTTCTAAAGACAGTACTGATCCACAACGACAGTACTGACGCTACGAGAGAGAGAGAGAGAGAGAGAGAGAGAGAGAGAGAGAGAGAGAGTATTTATAACCGTGGCAGATTAGGCGAAGACGTAATCTGACGCTTGGATTTCCTGAGACGTTTAACTGTGTGTTAACTCTGACGTTCGTTCACCTAAGGGAGAGTGACAGGATGAGGGAGGTGAGGGAGAGTGACAGGATGATGTGGAGGGAGGTGAGGAGATGGAGGGATGATGTGAGGGAGGTGAGGGAGAGGACAGGATGATGTGAGGAGAGTGACGGATGATGTGAGGGAGAGTGCGGATGATGAGAGCTGGGGGAGAGTAACAGAGGATGGGAGGAAATGAGGAGAAAAATGAGGAAATGAGAATAATAATAATAATTTAAGAACAGATACGAATGGAGACATAAAAGAGGGAACAAGTACGGAGGGAAGAGAGGATCACACACACACACACACACACACACACACACACACACACACACACACACACACTCTTCACGGCATCATCACAAAAATATCATTAAACACCTTATTTATTCTGTTGGTAAAAGTCAATATACGCGACCCTTGAATGAGGTTGGAGAGAGGTGCTGGGAGGTAGCTTGTGATCTTGTTGATAACTTGATTCTATGATGTGCATAATGTGCGCCCAAATTAACCCGATGTTTCGAACCCCAATATTGAACTCCGAACCCCGATATCCGAACACCTAAACCCCGACAGCAGCAGCAACAGAAGGAACAACAACACCAATAATAAACATTAGGAGAACAAAAACACCGATGGCAGCAACAACAAAAACAGCAGCAACAACCAGAACAGCAGCAGCAGCAGCAGCACAACACATCAGGCACCAGTAGGCCTTATAATGACCACCACCTACTACTATTACTACTATCACCACTACTATTACTATTACAGACGGACGGACTCAGATATAAACATTCGAGTGCCTCACCTCTCGTTCTGTCTCTGTCAGTCTGGCACCGAAAATAAACGCTCTATACTTCAGACAGTCTGTTTAGTCGCGAAGTTTGACTTATACGTCTGCTGGGACCCCTTGACTAGTTCTCTGTGTACAGCAAAAGATTTATGAACTCCATCATTATTTTGTTGACCACACACACACACACACACACACACACACACACACACACACACACACACACACTCAGCTGGAGGTCACTGCGTTGTCTCGAATTAGCTTCTTTAAGGTTTCTGAAAGACAATAATTATTCACTCAACTTTAAAAAGAGTTTTATCATTGCTTGATTTTGAGACACTGTCGAGTCTTCTAGCAAGTATTAGAGTCCATAAAAATTAACGCACATGATCAATACTTAATCTTCAAAGCTTTGAAATGGTAAACATAAATGCTAAACAAAAGTGAATCTCGGTAGCTCGGGTCGTTAGGGAGCAGGCGTATAAAACACCCCATTAAGGGCAGGCATCATTGTGATAACCAGCGGGTAATGGCTGGCTACAAACTCAAACTAAGATGCCTTCCTTGATACTGGGGATAACAACACGCCTGGATCACAGATGTTGGCCGCTGATCCATTAGGTCTGTTACGAACATCCCTGGATCACAGATGTTGGCCGCTGCATCCATTAAGGTCTGCTACGAACATCCCTGGATCACAGATGTTGGCCGTTGATTCATTAAGGTTCGCAAACATCCTGGATCGCAGATGTTGGCCGCTGATCCACCAAGGTCTCACGAACATCCCTGGATCACAGATGTTGGCCGCTAATCCATCAAGACTTAGTGATGTGTGTTTTTAGTTTGGAGTCCTTGAAGGCTTTTCGTATTTTATTCCTCAAGAGACGGAGGATATGGCGAGTGGAGAGGTTGGAGGTCAGGTCTGTACCCTAAACATACCGGTCAGGGCCTGGTATTTGGGGTCATGTCTTGTACCCTCAGATCATAGTAGATGGGTCAGATCCTGCATACGACAACGTAAAGGACCAATTTATCCATGATTCTTATTCTATAACAATCAGTCATATATACAAAGACGATTCGAACTTGGAAATTCAGTTGGCCATTTAAGTTCAAAATAGAATCTACTTTAATACTAATTACAGATTTTATCTCATCATAGTTTCTCTCCCTCTTTTCTTTTACCTCGAGAGCCTCACAACACTAATGGAATGGGCCTCTTGTAGACAACTTTTCTAGGTTACCCAAATTCACAGGAAATTCTGAATTTCAACTCAGACCTTCTTCTCCAATATGTATATACCTGTGAAGGAGGTTAGGTAAGAGAAGAATACATTGTGTGTTTCAAGATTGCTTATCAACATATTTTGCGGCATCATGAAACATTTTAACAACACACACTATGTTATCTGTGACACTCAGTAGACGGTATCAGTCACTTTGTACTGACCCTCACATGTTTAGAAAAAAGCTGACAATCACTGTAAGCCAAGTAAATTTATGCTGACAGGTAGTTTATGCTGACAAGGATAGATAAGGTTTATTTTTAAGAGCTAACCCCTTCTTAAGATTATTAAAAAAATAATTCATTACCTCATTACCTACACTAGTCTTTCATTAACAATATCTTGGATCAATATTCTTTCTCACGTAAATTTATTATCTGCAAAACGAATAACAATACGAATTACACCACGAAGAGTAGATTCATATTTGTAAACAAGTTTATACCAATTATAACGAAAGACTTAAAAACAATGTAATAATGACTTCACTAAAATTCAACGTTACCAACAACTTAGCAACGGAAGAAATCAACATTTACCGTCTCATAATTACTGTCACAATAAACGTTAGCACCTTGGTAACGAAGGCTATTTTGTTACGTTACAGCCGTCACGTCCGTCACACCCTTGCCTGATGTTATCGCTTCGCTGTGTGACGTCATCCTGGTCTACATGCAAGGTCAGGCTGCTTGTCTGGTGATGGACCCTTCCATACACAACCATTATGGAGGTCATCCATACACAACCATTATGGGAGGTCCACCATCACAACCATTATGGGAGTTCCTCCACATTCTATTATGGGAGGTCCACCATACTCTACCATTATGAGAGTTCCTCACACTCTACGATTATGGGAGGTCCTCCACACTCTACCATTATGGGCGTTCCTCCACACTCTACCAGTATGGGAGTTCCTCCACACTCTACCTATGGGAGGTCCTCCACACTCTACGATTATGGGAGGTCCTCCACCTCTCTATTATGGGGTCCTCCACACTCTACGATTATGGGAGGTCCTCCACACTCTACCATTATGGGCGTTCCTCCACACTCTACCAGTATGAGTTCCTCACACTCTACCATTGGGGTCCTCCACACTCTACGATTATGGGAGGTCCTCCACTCTACATTATGGGCGTTCCTCCTCTACCAGTATGGGAGTTCCTCCTCTACCATTATGGGAGGTCCTCACTCTACCATTATGAGAGTTCCTCCACACTCTACGATTATGGAGGTCCTCCACTCTACCATTATGGGCGTTCCTCCACACTCTACCAGTATGGGGGTTCCTCCACTCTACCATTATGGGAGGTCACACCTCTACCATTATGAGAGTTCCTCCACACTCTACGATTATGGGAGGTCCTCCACACTCTACCAGTATGGGAGGTCCTCCTCTACCATTATAGGGGTCCTCCACACTCTACGAATATGGGAGGTCCTCCACACTCTACCAATATGGAGGTCTTCCACACTCTACCATTATGGGAGGTCCTCCACTCTACGATTATGGGAGGTCCTCCACACTCTACCATTATGGGCGTTCCTCCACTCTACCAGTATGGGAGGTCCTCCATACTTTACCACCATTATGGAGGTCCACCATACTCACCATTATGGGAGGTCCTCAATACTCTACATGTGTGGGAGGTCCTCCACACTTCTAATTATGGGAGGTCTCCACACTCTACCAATAAGGTCCTCCACACTCTACCTTATGGAGTCCTCAATACTCTACGGTGGAGGTCCTCCACACTCTACCATTATGGGAGGTCCACCATACTCTACCATTATAGGGGGTCCTCACACTCTACGATTATGGGGTCTCCACACTCTACCATATGGGAGGTCCTCCACACTCTCCCAATTATGGGAGGTCCTCCACACTCTCTATTATGGGCGTTCCTCACACTCTACCAGTATGGGAGGTCCTCCATACTTTACCATATGGGAGGTCCTCCACACTCTACCATTATAGGAGGTCCTCCACACTCTACGATTATGGGAGGTCCTCCACTCTACGATTATGGGGTTCCTCCACACTCTACCATTATGGAGGTCCTCATACTTTACCATTATGGGAGTCACTTCCTACCATTATGGGGTCCAATACTCTCTACCATTATGGAGTTCCTCCACACTCTCTACCATTGGGCGTTCCTCCACACTCTACCAGTATGGGAGTTCCTCCACACTCTACCATTATAGGAGGTCCTCCATACTCTACCATCATGGGGTCCTCCATTCTACCATCATGGGAGGTCCTCCATACTCTACCATGTAGAGTTCCTCCACACTCTACCAAGGGAGTTCCATACTTACTTCATATTATGGAGGTCCACCATACTCTACCATTATGGAATCACCATCCTCCATTATGGGAGGTCCATACTTACTATGGGAGGTCCACCATACTCTACCATTATGGGAGGTCCACTATACACTATTATAATGCAGAAGTTCTACCGTACGCTGCTTCTACGACCCCTAGCAAAATAAATGGATGCGCTACGTCTGTCTTCCCATCAAGGCAATGTTTAAGTGTATTCAATCTCGTTTATGTCCTTTTGTCAAGGTGTAAAAAGACTGGGCCATGCCAACACTGATAGGTGGCCTAAACACACACACACACACACACACACACACACACACACACACACACACACACACACACACACACACACACACACACAATAACAATAAAATTGGCTTGGATAAAGGATCGACCTCAACATACACCGACCAACAACCAGCATGAGTTCACGACACCTGGATTACACTACCTTTGAGGGTAAGGAGAAGGAGCCTAGGAAGGTGAAGGTAGCCTGGTAGGAAGTAGCCTAGAAGGGAAGGTAGCTGGTAGGAAGTAGCCTAGAAGGGGTGAAGGTATGGCAAGAAGTAATCCAAAAGATAACCTGGAGTTTAGGTACTTATAATAATTATAGGCTAACAAAAGAGAGACTAGGTATGGGGAAGTAGCCATGGTAGTGATAAAGATAGCATGGAAGAAAGTACTGCAAGTTTATGAGGAAGGAAGCCGAGGTAAGGGTCAAGATAGTCTAGCAGGAAGTAACTCAGGTAAGAAAAAGGTTTAATTCAGGAGGTGTAGTTCAGACATGATAGAACCAGCCAGACAGGGAAAGGTTCGCACACTACACCACCCAGGGCACCAGAAGAATGTACACCACAACTGTTGCTCCTCCCACGCCGCTCCCACCGCACGTCGCACGCTCGCACACGCACGCACGCACGCACGCAGCACGTTTCGCACGCACGCACGCACGCTCGCACGCACGCACGCACGCACTTTCCTCTTTCACCTTTAATGAAAATCTGAGGACGCATTAAATACACTCAATTATACATACATACATACATACATACATACATACATACATACATACATACATACATACATACATACATACATACATACATACATACATACATACATACATACATACATACATACATACATACATACATACATACATACATACATATATATAGTAACATTTATTCATTTATTATTCGCTAAACGTCTTCAAACTTTACTTGCTTTACCCACCACCGGGAAATGATCAATCGATTTCTTTGGATGTTAGGATTCAGTTATATGTTATATCGATACTATTACATACAGTATGTGTGTGTGTGTGTGTGTGTGTGTGTGTGTTGGTGATGTATATATGTACAGTATTCAGCAACAGACAAACTATCTTGAAAACGTCCTCTCGTGCTACTGATTAAACAGACAACCATCAAATATATTTAGTGAAGCCCAAATGTACCAGGCTACAGTAGGGAGACTAGAAACTGGTAAGAACACAAGAGGACCCACACAAGACTACAGAGTGACAAGGAACACAAGAAGACTCACACAAGACTATACAGTGACAAGGAACACAAGAAGACTCACACAAGACTACAGAGGACAAGGAACACAAGAAGACCACACAAGACTACACAGTGACAAGGAACACAAGAGGACCCACATAAGACTACACAGTGACAAGGAACACAAGAAGACTCACACAAGACTACAGAGGACAAGGAAACACAAGAGGACCCACATAAGACTACAGTGAAGGAACACAAGAAGACCCACACAAGACTACACAGTGACAAGGAACACAGAGGACCCACATAAGACAGTGACAAGGAAACACAAGAAGACTCACACAAGACTACATGAAAGGAACACAAGAGGACCCACATAAAGACTACACAGTGACAAGGAACACAAGAAGACTCAACAAACTACAGAGTGACAAGGAACACAAGAAGACTCACACAAGACTACACAGTAACACGGAACACAAGAAGACCCACACAAGACTACACAGTGACAAGGAACACAAGAAGACTCACACAAGACTACACAGTGACAAGGAACTCAAGAGGACCCACATAAGACTACACATGAAAGGAACACAAAGAAGACTCACACACTACAGAGTGACAAGGAACACAAGAAGACTCACACAAGACTACACAGTAACACGGAACACAAGAAGACCCACACAAAGACTACACAGCAACACAAGGACCCACACAAGACAACACAGTAACACGGAAAACAAGAAGACCCACACACAAGACTACACAGTGACAAGGAACACAACAAGAAACAAGACTACACAGTGACACGGAACACAAGAGGACCCACACAAGACTACACGGTGACAAGGAACACAAAAGACTCACCAAGACTAACAGTAACACGGAACACAAGAAGACTCACACAAGACTACACAGTGACAAGGAACACAAGAGGACCCACACAAGACTACACAGTGACAAGAAACACAAGAAGACTCACACAAGACTACAGAGTGACAAGGAACACACAGAAGACTCACACAAGACTACACAGTAACACGGAACACAAGAAGACTCACACAAGACTACAGTGACAAGGAACACAAGAGGACCCACACAAGACTACACAGTGACAAGGACACAAGAAGACTCACACAAGACTACAGAGTGACAAGGAACCAAGAAGACTCACACAAGACTACAGCAGGAACACAAGAAGACCCACACAAGACTACACAGTGACAAGGAACTCAAGAGGACCCACATAAGACTACACACGTGACAGAACACAAGACTCACACAAGACTACAGAGGACAAACACAAGAAGACCCACACAACACACAGTGACAAAAACTCAAGAAGACCCACATAAGACTACACAGTGACACGGAACACAAGAAGACTCACACAAAACTACACAGTGACAAGGAACACAAAGAAGAAGATCACAGAAATGAAACACAAAGACCCACACAGACACAGTGACAAGGAACACAAGAAGACCCACACAAGACTACACAAGGAACACAAGAAGACTCACACAAGACTACACAGTGACAAGGAACCCAGAGAACCCAACATAAGACTACACAGGACAAAGACCCACACAAGACTACAGAGAGACAAAACACAAGAAGACTCACACAAGACTAAGTAAAAACACAAGAAGACCACAGAAGACCCACACAGACTACACAGTAACACGGAACACAAGAAGACCCACCAAGACTACACAGTAACACGGAACACAAGAAGACCCACACACACATGACAAGACAAAACACAAGAAGACCCACACAAGACTACACAGTGACAAGGAACACAAGAAGACTCACAAGACTACACAGTAACACGGAACACAAGAAGACTCACACAAGACTACACAGTGACAAGGAACACAAGAGGACCCACACAAGACTACACAGTGACAAGGAACACAAGAAGACTCACACAAGACTACAGTAACACGGAACACAAGAAGACTCACACAAGACTACACAGTAACACGGAACACAAGAAGACCTACCAAGACTACACAGTGACAAGGAACACACACCTACAAGACTATACAGTAACACGGAACACAAGAAGACCACACAAGACTACACAGTAACACACAAGAAGACCCACACAAGACCACAGTGACACGGAACACAAGAGGACCCACACAAGACACATACAGTGACACGGAACACAAGAGGCACAAGACTACACACACACACAATCACACAAGACTATACAGTAACACGGAACACAAGAAGACTCACACAAGACTATACAGTAACACGGAACACAAGAAGACTCACACAAGACCACAGTAACACGGAACACAAGAAGACCCACACAAGACTACACAGTGACATGGAACACAAGAGGACCCACACAAGACTACACAGTAACACGGAACACAAGAAGACTCACACAAGACTACACAGTGACAAGGAACACAAGAGCTCCCAAAGACTACACAGCCGGAACACAAGAAGACCCACACAAGACTACACAGTACACGGAACACAAGAGGACCCACACAAGACTACAGTGACACGGAACACAAGAAGACCCACACAAGACTACACAGTGACAACATAAAAGGTCCCAGACACTCCGCCATCGAGACGACTCCGTTATAGTGAACTCTGGCGGAAGAGTACGTAGACTTTCTGGTATTGCACAGCCCATCGTGGGGCAGGTGTGGACCAGGCGTGTTTCCTCAAGTCTGTGAGTAAGATGCATCTACAGTGGGTGGACACAGATATATCCAAGTGTGTTTACGGAAGAAAACACCGTATCGTTATAAGAGGCACGCACGCACGCCACGCACGCACGCACGCACGCACACGCACGCACGCACGCACGACGGGTTCAAATTTACTGTTGGAACGAATTTAGGTACTTCAACAGCTGAGCTAAACACAGTTCACTAACTGAAATTAATAAAATTTCGGAATTTCATTCATTTTGTTGGATATCATCAATGACTGAGGACCTGTCCGTAACTTGTAGCAATATAGTGTTAGCAGGAAGACCGAGAGAGGGTTTATCATGTTAATTCCTCCATCATCGGTTTTTCCTATAAGGTCTATTATGGTTAACTTCAAGTGTTCTCGACGTGTGGTGATTAATGTCCCGCAGGGGGAGGGCGGGGTGTTATATTCCCTTGAAATTAGTTCTTGAAATTCTAGTAAATTTATGTTTTGTTAAGTTGTAGAAAAGCCACAGATCAGAGTTAATTAGTTCCTGAACTGTCTTATTATAGTTCGTAAATATTTCTCTGTTGTAAATTACTTGTTAATGACACTATTTTCTTTCCTTTAATATGGCATGAAAATTGTTTTATCTTTAATCTATAATTATGGGAAGGTTTTATGAGGTCTTCACTTTTGGAAACTAAGACAAAAATTTCACTTTAACATTTACTTATGGTTAACCTTAATTTACACACCAAGAAGCCAATTTAAGCATGATGATTATGACTCTATAATTGGAATAAAAATCCAACTCATCAACAACTCTCCATCAATTGGCACACAAACCTCCTTGTTAATGTGGCTACTAACACACGTCCACAAACCCACTAACATCACTACTGAAGTTAAAAACAACAACAAAAAATTCCAACCCATTTAAAAAAAATATTATCCGTGACTAGATGCCTCAATAGTTGTCACTTCTGCATCAACAAGTAAAATATGTTTCACTATCAACAACACACCCACTACCTTCCTGAGCACCAACCCTGCCATCACACAAGCAACCTCCAATAGAAAGCAAATCTACAAGATATGTCGTGGTTTGAGCCTAGTCACGTAATTACTGTGACATGGCGGTCACACTGGGGATTTTTGGTCTTTTAGGGCACAGCAACATCCCAGGGTCACGCTTCTGTTTCAGGAGGGCTGGTGGTGGGGGAGAGCTGGTGGTGGGGAGAGCTGGTGGTGGGGAGAGCTGGTGGTGGGGAGAGCTGTGGAGGGGAGAGCTGGTGGTGGGAGAGCTGGTGGTGGGGAGAGCTGGTGGTGGGAGAGAGCTGGTGGTGGGGGACAGCTGGTGGTGGGGAGAGCTGGTGGTGGGAGAGCTGGTGGGGACAGCTGTGGTGGGGAGCTGGGGTGAGAGCTGGTGGTGGGGAGAGCTGGTGGGAGAGCTGGTGGTGGGGGAGAGCTGGGATGAGGGGGGTTGGAGAAGTGGGGAGAGCTGGTGTGGGAGAGCTGGTGGTGGGACAGCTGGTGGGGAGAGCTGGGTGGGACAGCTGGTGGGAGAGTGGTGGTGAGAGCTGGTGGTGGGGACAGCTGGGGGGACAGCTGGTGTACAGCTGATGGTGGGGACACTGGAGGGTGGGGAGAGCTGGTGGTGGGAGAGCTGGTGGGGGGGGAGCTGGTGGTGGGAGAGTGTGTGAGAGCTGTGTGGGGAGAGCTGTGGGGAGAGAGCTGTGGGGACACGGGGGGGGACAGCTGGTGGGTAGGAAAGCTGGAGGGGACAGCTGGTGGGGGGAAGCTGTGGGGAGGTGGTGGGGGAGCCGGGGGGAGAGCTGGTGGTGGGGAGAGCTGGTGGTGGGAGCTGGAGGTGGGGACAGCTGGAGGTGGGGGGCAGCAGGTGGGGAGAGCTGGGGGAGAGCTGGGTGGAGAGCTGGTGAGAGCTGGTGGTGGGGAGAGCTGGTTGGGAGCTGGTGGTGGGGAGCTGGTGGGGGAGAGCTGGTGGTGGGGAGAGCTGGGTGGGAGGAGCTGGTGGTGGGGAGAGCTGGTGGTGGGGGAGAGCTGGTGGTGGGGACAGCTGGTGGTGGGGACAGCTGGTGGGGGACAGCTGATGGTGGGGGACAGTTGGTGGGGTAGGGGAGAGCTGGTGGGGAGAGCTGGTGGTGGGGGGAGCTGGTGGTGGAGAGCTGGTGGTGGGGAGAGCTGTGAGCTGGTGGGAGAGCTGGTGTGGGGACAGCTGGTGGTGGGAGAGCTGTGGGAGCTGGTGGGGCTGGTGTGGGGAAGCTGGGGGACAGCGGTGGTGGGGGCAGCTGGTGGTGGGGAGAGCTGGTGGTGGGGAGAGCTGGTGGGAGAGCTGGTGGTGGGGAGAGCTGGTGGTGGGGAGAGCCGGTGGTAGGGAAAGCTGGGAGTGGGGACAGCTGTAGGTGGGGGGCAGCTGGTGGTGGGGAGAGCTGGTGGTGGGGAGAGCTGGTGGTGGGGAGAGCTGGTGGTGGGGAGAGCTGGTGGTGGGAGAGCTGGTGGTGGGGAGAGCTGGTGGTGGAGAGCTGGTGGTGGGAGACTGATGGTGGGGGATGAAGAGCTGGGGATGAGGTAAGAGGAATAGTGAAAAGAATGTCCTAAGACAGTTGGCGTATGTTGGATGACAGGCAAAAAAATACTCTTCGTTTCAGTGTGTGTGTGTGTGTGTATGAATAGTAATAATAATAATAATAAAATATATAATCATAATTCATATAACAATAATCATAATAATAATAATAATAATCATAATAATCATAATAATCATAATAATAATAATAATAATAATAATAATAATAATAATAATAATAATAATAATAATAATAATAATAATAATAATAATAATATCACGGTTTATTGAAAAGTTATGCATCCGAAGGCTGAAAATATGCAATGGACATAAATGACTTATTGCATACTGGGGGAGTTAACAAAAGCCTTCATTAGAGAAAGGAGAAGGAACATAAAGTGAACATACAGATTATTGTTTACAGTGGAGGCCACGTAGGTCATATGCGCTGAGGTTTTGAACAGCAAACCCATAGTGTAGTAACTCCCTCACAGGTGGTGTTATGAGGGGCATCACGTGGAGTGGTAATTCTCACAGATGGTGTTATGAGGGACATCACGTAGTGCAGTAATTCCCTCACAGATGGTGTTATGAGGGGCATCACGTGGTGTAGTAATTCCCTCACAGATGGTGTAGTAATTTCCTCACAGATGGTGTTATGAAGGTCCTCACGTGGTGTAATAATTCCCTCACGGATGGTGTTATGAGGGACCTCACATGATGCTGTAGCAACTCATTCACTACGTGGTGTCGTAGCATCATGGGGACACCACGTGGTCTGGTGTCACAGGACCTCAATCACCTAAGTGAGTGAGTGTGGTTCCAGTCCTCCCTGTCGTAGACGGATTAACACATAGTTGCATATTGTTGAGTCTCACGGGCAGTTATCACTGGGTACCTGGGACCTCACTGTGTGAAGGTTAACTTGGATACGACTCAGCTGTTACTGTTGAGTTGTTTTCACTGACTTGAACACTGTTCACCACTGTTCACCACTATTCAACACTGGTTCCATTCCTTTCCTGAATGAAATTGTAGCTTCTGGCGAGAACTTGTTGATATTCCGGTGTGGAGGAGGGGTTCACGGGACAGAGTTGGTATGGGCCAACCTAACAGTTGACCTGGCTGCTCCCAGTACGTCTTGACCCTTTGGTGGTCACGGATGAGGTAAGTGTGTGTGTGTCTGTGTGTGTGTGTGTGTGTGTGTGTGTGTGTGTGTGTGTGTGAACGAACTAAAAAAAATAAGGCCAGGCAACGTCAGCGCCAGTAGGAGGAAACTAGGGAATGATTTACTATATATGGCATAAGGTGATAAAGGTGGTAGAAGAGTGAAAAGAATTTAACACATGTCATATATACTAAACTGTAAATCTTTCATTG